CTGTAAGCTCGCTGAAATCGGAGTTCGGGTGCTTCCGGATTTAATCTTTGAAGTTTCCAACTAGCTTTTTGCCTTGAGATTCGTGCCCAATCAAGATAAATCTGTGATGACGTATCAGTAAATATAAAAGAAAAATTTTGTAAATATAAATTACAAAGAAAGATCTTATCAATTTAGAAGCTTTGGATATTAGTATATTACACATGTCATCCTATTCAACCTCCCTTGCCTCTACTATCACAATGTATTCTGCATATGATGTTCACATCCACATAAAGCATATCAATGCATATATACTTATTTTTATCTCCTTTTGAGCCAACATTGATGCAACACATACTCCAAGCTTGAAGCCACTCACATCCTCTCAAGCAATATGCATTAATTATCATTTGGAGCAATTAATCATAGACTGTAATTAATTTTAAGTTAATAAAATATGATTTTTTTAAATGAATATTCAGATTTGATAATAGATATTATGTAATATAAAAGAAAAAATTTGTATATGAGAACTAGAGAATCTTAAAAAAAAAAGAAAAAAAAAAACATATTAGTATTTGATTAAGAATTCACATATACATGTTCTATATTTTTCCCACTACTTCTTTATATATCATTTTTATTTATTCACATTTTATCCACTTTGATTGCCATAAGAGAAACAACGACATAAATAATACATATACGTAAGAAATAATTATATGAAGAAATTAAATTCGGTTGGTAATAATTTCAGTAATTGGAGATTCATTTGCTCACGCAGTTTTCAAGTCAAAGAGTCGTGGAGATGGGAGAGACTGTGAGATGACCCAATATTGCAGAATTTCATTCAAAATTCGAGTTTTAATTTATTCGATTATTATTTGGGTCGAGTTCGGGTTCTAAGTCTTGATCTAAATAATTATCGAGCAGAGTTTGGGTTGACCTAAGAACTTAAAATTGATTTGAAATTGATTGTATTGTCTTTCGAGTTTGGGCTAAAGTGATCATTTTTAAATGGGTCAATCTGGTTAGGATTGGGTCAAGCGGATCTAGTTAAAATTTTTACCCATATGGTAAATGAGTCGGATTTGAGTCAAATCCATTCATATCGGGTCAAACCTGAACCTGACCCTCCAACCCGAACTAACACCCCCTACTTCCAAATCCTAAAAAAATGAAATACATTTTTTTTTTGTTAGAAATAAAATATATGCAAAATACTTAATGTTGAAATGAAAGGGCTTTGAGAGAAATAGTTTAGTTGTAATATACAAAAGAAGATTTATCAGAGGAATAAGACAAGTTGGATACAAAGTAATTAGCTTAAAGGTGTCACATCTACTTCTACAAAAAAACATTTAATATGACATCATATCTACTATTATAAAAATCATTTGAAATTTCACCGAGATGAGTCTCATTCACTCATTAATTTCAATGGATTAGAACTGTTTATATTTAATTTAAATCTAATTTAACTTATTTTTTCTCATATTTAATTAAGTAAATAAGTAGGATTATCAATCAATTATATTAAAGTTTTTAATAAAAAAATGTGACTGCATTTTTACTTAATTATTTAAATATAAATAAATTTGAAGGAGATATAATTTTTCATTGATCTTTGTATGATTTAATCCACAACTAAAGACTAAATACTTTTATAGATTAGCTGATAAAAAAGGTAAATTTACTGACATAACATATAAATTTTATTTATTTAAATATTTATTATATAAATTTTTATTTTTATCTATGTAAAATTTTATTATCTCAAGCACATCAAAACAAACACATGAAAAGTTATATTTTCACATTAAAAAAAAAACTAATATCAATGATATATTTTATATAATTTAAAGTTTTAAATATTTTCTAAATAAAAAATTTAAATTAAAATAAATACGAAAAAAATTCTATAATGTTTATGCAAATTCTTCCCAACTAAAAATGAAGAAGAAAAAGAAGAGATGAATTAGTTATATTTACGTCTTTCTTATTACTTAAAGCAGCATTTTAAGTAAAAAATTAAAAATTTTATATTAAAAAACTGATTTAAGAAAATAAAAAAAAAAACTATCTCAAACCATAAAAATTTTAGTAGCTTTCAGATCTATTGGATAAAAAATTTAATCAGTTTTTTCACTGACTCTGCATCACAGAGGACATGCACGTGAAGGTCCAATAATTTCTCATGCACTGAGTGGGTCCAGAGTAAGCCAGCCTCTTCTCAGTTGTTCTCATCACAAAATCCATCGATTTTAAGAATCTCTGCTTTCTCTATCTCCATCATTTCTCTCTCCTCCCCCGTTTCTCTTCCCCTTCCTCTCCACCAGCCGACTCTTCCCTCCTTCCACCTTAGATCCCTCTCTTTTCAATGGCAGAACACTTGCTGTCGCTCTGTTGCTGCTCCCTTTTGCTTCTGTTCATGGTGGTTGGCGTTGCTGGTAAGGAGGAGAAGATAGTTCTGTATTTGCAGAAAGTGGGATTGGGAGAGGAGAGAGCCTCCCAGTACTGTTTGCCTAAGAGATCAAGTAAATGTATTTACTGATAAGTATTTCTAGATTTGTTGTTCAAGGAATTCATTCAGTTTTCATATGTAGTGGTTAGAATTACAAATAATGTACCACAAACACTTGCTTCTCCAGTTTTATTCATTTTAATTCCTATGTTTCTGTAATTTTTGCTACTTTCTCTGCTCACATAGACAAACAGAAGCAAATTCCAAAACACTTAGATTTCATTTGGGACGGTTTTTTTAATGCTTCTTAAATAAACTTTTAAGTACAAAAATTAAAATTTTTGTACTAAAAAATTGATTTAAGAAGCAGTAAAAAAGCCGTCCCAAACGAATCCTTAATATACTTTGATTTTACTGCAGAAGAAAGTGACAGGAGACTAACAAAAAGCTAGACAACTTTCACATAAAACTGATTTAAATGCGAAATCAAAGGTGTTTTTATCATCAGTGCAGATAGTAGGAAGCATAATAAAAATAGAAAATAGTATGTCAATGGTTATTATAAAAATTGACAAAACAACCCATAACTTATTTTCCATACTAACACATGAGCCACAGGAAGAGAGAAGGGTGCAACAATACTGGAAGTAAAGCATCATAGCTCCTGTACCACTTCATTCTCAACAAGAGAAGACAAACTAATGAAGATCATCGAATCTGACAATTCTAGAATCTCATCCTTGTATCACAGAATAAAAAACTTTGATTCAAGAAGCCCAAAGACAGTTCTATCAGAATCTCAAATCCCAATAACATCTGGAGCTAAGCTCCAGACACTGAATTACATAGTCTCAATCAAGCTCGGGAACAACGAAATGACTGTGATCGTTGACACTGGAAGCGACCTAACATGGGTTCAATGCCAACCCTGCAGCTCATGCTACAACCAACAAGATCCAATATTCAATCCCTCCACCTCTCAATCCTATCAGCAAATACCATGCAACTCACCTACCTGCAGTTCAGTTCAAATAGCAACTGGAATATCTTCTTTCTGTGGCTCAGATCAACCTAGCTGCAACTACTCTTTCAGCTATGGAGATGGATCTCACACAAGTGGAGTGCTTGGCTGGGAGCAAATTGATCTTGCAGGAACTATCATTGATGGATTTGTATTTGGTTGCGGTCAAAGTAATTATGGACTGTTCGGAGGGACTTCAGGTTTGATGGGCCTGGGAAGGACACAATTATCATTGATATCACAAACTATATTTCAATTTGGAGGAATTTTTTCCTACTGTCTGCCTCCAAGAGAGTATGATTCATCAGGATCCCTGGTTCTTGGAGGTGACCCCTCCATTTTTAAGAATAACACTCCTGTGAGTTACACAAGAATGATTCTGGATCCTCCAGAATCACCCTTTTACTTTCTTAACCTTACAGGAATAAGCATTGGTGCAGTGGCTCTACAAGCTTCAGGATTTTATAACGGCAAAGTTCTTATCGATTCGGGAACGGCGATTACTAGGCTTGTTCCTTCGATTTACATAGCTTTGAGGGATGAGTTCATGAGGCAGTTTTCAGAGTACCTAGTGGCTCCCGGCTATTCAATATTAGATACTTGCTTTAACTTGGCTGGTTTAAGGGAAGTGAGCATTCCTACAATGAAGTTTGTGTTTGAAGGTGGAGTGGAAGTGGATGTGGATGTCAATGGAATGTTCTACTACGTTAAGGAAGATGCTTCCCAGGTTTGTTTGGCTCTAGCAAGCCTAACATATGAAGATGAAGTTGGTATTATTGGGAATTATCAGCAGAAGAATCTGAGAGTGATCTATGATACTCTAGGATCAAGATTGGGGTTTGCAGAAGAAACTTGTGGCTGGCTATAGCAAAAACAGGAGGGTAAATTAGAGGAGATTATACAACAGATTGTGCACATTTTATATATGCAAGTACCTTTGGTTGGTTTCTTGGTTTCCACATTAAGCTTCATAGTTTCTGGATTAGGCAAAATATATATGATCAAGGTTGCAAGGAATTGTAGATGAAATCTGTGCAGTCTGCTCATGAAATTTCTACTGCAGCAGCGTTAATTCATAATAGAAGCAGTTTTTTAAACTTTTTTCATCATGTCATGTATTATTAACACATCAAGCTCAAGTCTTGTAATTTAGATCAAAGCTATTGAAAAATTTGCCTTTAAAGAGAAGCCAAAAGAGAGAAGGCTAAGCAGATACAACCTCTAATGTTACTTGTTGATGATAATCCTATAACCTAGGAAATCTCTATATAAAGATAGATATAATGCTTGCTAATCTAAGAGGGAACAAAAATAAATCTTTATAAAAGAGGGAAAGAAGTTTACAACTCGCAAGTCCAACCCACTAATGATGGATCAGTAGAAAGAGTTTACTCTCCTTGAAATTATTATACTTTAGGCTACTTTTATATTCCTAAAAAATTTATCAAGTCTAAAGTCTCTCTCTCTACTAGTGCAAATCCCACAAATGGAAGTCAACCTTGTCTTCATATTAAGGTTTCATTTGGAATGACTTTTTTACTGCTTTCCAAAACAGCTTTCTAGTACAAAAATTTCTTGAACTAAAAATTTTTGTATTAGGAAGTTGCTTTAGAAGGCATTAAGAAAGCCGCCCCAAACAAAGCTGTTAGGCCGGCCCAGGAGGGGCCGGCTGGACCGGTCCAACCTGGACCAGTCCGGGTCTATGCCAGACGAAACCAGCGACCAAACAAGGAGGGGGCATAAGCCATGGTGGGCCCCAGCTTGCATTAAACCACTTGTTGGAGGAAAATTTTGAATAGGAGGGTTGTTTAGGGATTTTGTATGAGTCCTTTTGTTTTAATTAGGGGCTAATACTAGAATTAGGTTTTATCTTGAATTTGAATTGTAATTTGAGATCTAGGGTTCTTTTGCTTTGGGCTCTTGGCGTTGCTGGAGATTTGGAGAGTTGTTCTTCCTCTCGGATAGTCGGATTGAAGAACAATTGTATCTTTGCTATTTTACTTCATCGTCTAGTTGAATATCACTCTCTACTTGAGTTTTCTCTCAGATTTCTCGCTGTTTTCCCTGTGTGGCTGCTGTCCCCTGCTGAAAACAGCAGTTTTACTGCTGTTTTCCACTCCGATTTCGATTAGGTTTGCTTGCGAACGCAAGTATTCCTTAAGGTTACTTGCGAACTCAAGTATTTCCTATCAAAATTGGTATCATAGCGTCGTTTTGGGACCGTTAGCAGCTGAAATCCTGACATTTCAGCAGATTTTTGTTTTCCGGAAGAAGATCTTCGTGACTGTTAGGAAGATAGATGGCTGGGAAGAAGGTAGAGGTCTTGGAAGGTGAGATTGGTCAACTAAAGTCAGATTTGGAGGGAAAATTTTTTTATTTTCAAAACCAAATCACCTCCAACAATGAAAGGATCGAAGGGAAATTCACAGTGATGGAAGAGATGTTGAAGAAACTGCAGGAGTTGAAGAGCAATCCTACGACATCAGAAGCATGAGAGACCACCGGAGGCCATGGTGTAGGAGGGAATCCGAACCCGTTTAGGGGGAGGAGAAATCCAAAAGTGGAGGTCATTAAGGGGAAGGACGACATGCCACCTTTAGAGCTACTTTCTAGAGAGGAGATGAGTTTGGGAAATGACCGGAGGGGTGCTGATGTCGTCGGGAGAATGGAAGAATTTCATCGCCGGGGTGCTGATTTTGAAGGGAGAAGAGGGGAATACGATGAAGGGTTCGGGTATAATCGCCGAAGGGAAGATCGTGACAGTTTGGGAGCACCTCTTCTTCGAGGAATGGGAGGTTATGTAGGATTCAAAGGAAACGGGGGAGACCCACAGGTGAGGAAGCTGAAGATGCCCGTCTTTGAGGGTGAAGATGGCCATGGCTGGATCTACAAGGTGGAGTGATACTTTGCTGTCAACGGGTTGACATAGGATGAGAAGCTGACAGCGGCGGGTTTGTGTTTGGAATGAAAAGCCTTGGCATGGTATCAATGGCGTGACAGAAGGGAGCCCATCCGGAGCTGGAGGGAGTTCAAAGATTGCTTATTGGAGCGTTTTCGAGAAGATGGGGGAGGAGACTTCTATGAACAATTCTTTGCTTTGACTTAGGAGGGGACTATGGCAGACTACCGAGACAAGTTTGAGTACTTGACTAGCAGATTGGATCACATTTCAGAGTCAGCCCTGGAAGAGAACTTCATGAAGGGGCTTAAACCTGAGATACGAACAACAGTTAGGGTGCTGGAGCCGAGGAACCTAGGAAAGGCTATGGAGCTGGCACAGTTGGTGGAAGAGCAAAAGAAATCAGAAAGAGGAACTCGAGGGAACTATTCAGGGGGTCATACAAGATGACTACCACATTCTTACCATCAAAAAGGGGCAGCGCCAGGGGGTCTGAAGGAAGCACCAAAGAAGAAAACTGGAGGGGGAAATGGGGGATAGTTCAAAAAAGCTGACAAAGAAGGAGATGCAGGATAAGAGGGCAAAGAGGTTGTGCTTCAGATGTGATGAGAAGTACATGCCGGGGCATAGGTGCAAGGATCGAACTCTTCAGGTTCTCCTTATCTATGAAGACGAGGAAGACGAGGAGGGAGGTGGGAGCAAATCTGGAGAGGAGGAGGAGAAGTTGCACCTGGAAGTGGCAGAAGTCTCTCTGAACTCTGTGGTGAGATTCACTCCGAGTCACACTATAAAAGTGAAAGGAGAGATAGCTGATTGTGAGGTGGTGGAGTTAATTGACAGTGGGGCAACCCACAATTTCATTTCCAACTAGATCGTTGAGCTGTTGGGGATGAAGTTAGTGGATACCGGAGGCTATGGGGTGATGATGGGCACAAGGAAGGTGGAAATGGGTAGAGGAGTTTGTAGAGGGGTGGTGCTGAAGATTCAGGGGATCCAAGTGAGGGAGGACTTCCTTCTCTTGGAATTGGGGAGAACTGACGTCATCCTGGGGATGAAGTGATTGCAGATATTGGGGGAGACCAAGATCAATTGGGGAACAATGAGGATGGAGCTGATGATGGGGGGAAGAAAGAGAATGATTTAGGGTGATGCTGGGCTGACCAAGGCTGGGGTTTCTCTCAAATCCCTAATCATAACCATTCAGGAGGAGGGAGGAGACTACTTAGTGGAGTTGCACCGCCTAGAAGGGGTCAGACTAGAGGAAGAAGATAATGTTCCATCTTTAGTGCAGCCGCTCATAGACCAGTTCAGCGAGGTTTTTCAACCTCCCCAGAGTATACCTCCTCAGAGGGAGTTGGAGCATGCCATTACTTTGAAAGAAGGGGAGACACCGATCAGCGTCCGCCCTTACCATTACCCACAGATTCAGAAAGATAAGATTGAGAAGTTGATCCAAGAAAAGCTGGAGGTGGGGATCATCAGACCCAGCGCTAACCCTTTTTCTAGTCCAATTCTCCTGGTCAAGAAGAATGATGGGAGTTGAAAATTCTGTGTGGAATACAGGGCTCTGAATATGAGCAATGTACCAGACAAGTTCCCAATTCCGATGATTGATGAGCTCTTGGACGAGCTATATGGGGCACTTATGTTTTCCAAGTTGGACTTAAAATTCGGATACCACCATATCAGAATGAGGGAGGCAGATGTTCCAAACATAGCATTCAGGACACATGAGGGGCATTATGAATTTCTGGTAATGCCCTTTGGATTAACTAACGCTCCTGCAACTTTTCAATCTTTAATGAACAGGATATTCAAGCAGCACCTCAGGAAGTTTGTCCTGGTCTTTTTTAACGATATCCTGGTGTACAGCAAGACCGTGGAGGAGCACTTGGAACATTTGAGAGTGGTCTTAGAAGTGCTTCAAGAGCATTAGTTGAAGGCCAACCTGAAGAAGTACAGCTTTGCTCAGGCAAGTGTGGAGTACTTGGGGCATGTGGTATCCCAATAAAGAGTGGTGGTGATCAAACTAAAATTGAGGCAATGCAGAAATGGCCACTGCCTAGGAACATAAGGGAGTTGAGGGGTTCCCTAGGCTTGATTGGGTATTACAGGAAATTTGTAAAGGGGTACGGTACCATTGCATGGCCTTTGACTGAGTAGCTGAAGAAAGACAATTTCTCATGGGGAGAGGCAGCGACCAAGGCCTTTGAGAGGTTAAAGGAAGCCATGATGACTGTTCATGTTTTAGCTTTTCCAGAGTTTACCCAGGTCTTTATAGTATAGACCGATGCCTCAAGATATGGGTTGGGGGAAGTGTTGATGCAGAACCACAGGCCTATAGCATACTTCAGTCAAGTGCTATCAACCAGGGCAAGAATGAAGTCAGTGTTCGAGAGGGAGCTGATGATCATTGTTTTGGCGATTCAGAAGTGGCGCCCCAATCTTTTTGGTCGACACTTCGTTGTTCGAATTGATCATAGGAGCTTAAAGTATCTCTTGGAGCAAAGAATGGTAACTGAGGAGCATCAGCGATTGCTATCCAAACTATTGGGCTATGATTTCAAGATCCAGTACAGGCCAGGCATGGAAAATAAAGCAGCTGACGCTTTGTCCAGGTGTGTGGGGGAGCTCCAAGAGTTGGCAGTGTTTGTACCATTGATGGTCGACTGGGGGGCCATTAAGGAAGAAAGCATGCTGAATGAAGAACTGAGAAAGATCAGGGAGGACTTGAGGAAAGACAAGAGTAGCCATCCTGGTTACTGCATTGAGGGGGAGAGACTATTGTATCAAGGGAGGTTTGTGATGCTACGGACCTCCATACATATTCCCCACTTGTTGCAGAAGTTCCATGGCAGCGTAGTTGGAGGCCATTCAGGAGTTCAGAAGATACACAGGAGGCTGGCAACGGAACTCTATTGGAAGGGGATGCATAAGATGTTGAGGAGATGGTGGCGAGGTGTGCCAAAGAAATAAATACATGTCCATGGCTCCAGAAGGATTACTACAACCATTGACACTTTCAAACAGAGTTTGGGAGGAAGTGTCCATGGATTTCATCGACAACTTAACAAATATGCACACTTCATCCTCTTACGACATCCTTACACCGTAGTGTCAGTAGTAGCAACATTTATCAGGAAGGTTGTGAGACTGCATGGAATTCCTGATTCGATTGTATCTAATCGAGACAAAGTATTCCTTAGCCAATTCTGGAGAGAGATATTCAGGATGCAGGGCACTGTCCTTAAGAGGAGCACCGCCTACCACCCACAGACAGATGGGCAAACAGAGGTGGTGAATCAGAGTCTGGAGACCTATTTGCGGTGTTTTGCTTCTGAAACCCCGCGAATGTGGGCAAAGTGGCTACCATGGACTGAGTACTGGTACAATACCTCCTACCATTCTGCTTCTCAGATGACCCCATTCAAAGTGTTGTATGGGAGGGACCCCCCACACTTAGTGCACTATAGGAGAGGAAGTACACCTATCTCTTTAGTTGAACAATACCTAGAGGAAGGAGACCAGGTGTTGTAGGAGTTCAAGAAACATCTGGGAAGAGCACAACAAATCATGAAAAAGGGAGCAGATACACACAGGAGAGACATACAATATGAAGTGGGGGAGAAGGTGTACTTGAAGCTAAGGCCCTATAGGCATAAATCAGTGGCTAACAGGAGGAACGAGAAATTGGCCCCAAGGTACTTTGGTCCGGTCCCTATGAGATCTTGGGTAAGATTGGAGCAGTAGCGTATCATCTGAAGTTACCCTCCTCCGCTACCATACACCCGATGTTTCATGTGTCACAGCTGAGGAGAGCATTAGGAGAACATGCAGCCAATGCTGAATTACTAGCATCATTGACAGAGGATTTGGAGGTGGTCATGGAACTAGTGGAGCTGAAGGGGTAAAGTTGGATAAAAAGGGAAACAAATAGGTGTTGATCAAATAAAAGGATCTCCCCGACTACGTGGCCACTTGGGAGCCCTATGAGATTGTGAAGCAGAAGTTCCCGTACTTTCACCTTGAGGACAAGGTGAGTTTTTGGGAGGGGAGTACTGTTAGGTCGGCCCAGGAGGGGCCGGCTGGACCGGTCCGGGTCTATGCCAGACGGAACCAATGACCAAACAAGGAGGGGACGAAAGCCATGGTGGGCTCCAGCTTGCATAACCACTTGTTGGAGGGAAATTTTGAATAGGAGGGTTGTTTAGGGATTTTGTATGAATCCTTTTGCTTTAATTAGGGGCTAATACTAGAATTAGGTTTTATAAATTTGAATTGTAATTTGAGATCTAGGGCTCTTTTGCTTTGGCCTCTTGGCGTTGCCGGAGATTTGGAGAGTTGTTCTTCCTCTCGGATTGAAGAACAATTGTATCTTTGCTATTTTACTTCATCGTCTAGTGAAATACCAGTCTCTACTTGAGTTTTCTCTCAGATTTCTCGCTGTTTTCCCTGTGTGATTGCTGTCCCCTGCTGAAAACAGCAGTTTTCCTGCTGTTTTCCACTCCGATTTCGATTAGGTTTGCTTGCGAACTCAAGTATTTCCTATCAGAAGCCTAAGTCAATCAATTCATTGACCTCTTCATCATAATAAAGTCAATCAATTCATTGAACTCTTGATCATAATAAATTCAATCAATTCATTGACCTCTTGATCATAACAAAGACAACCTAACAAATTCTTAAAGTCCACTATTAACAAACCTGCTAAACTAGTACTTTTAATAAAGATCACAACTCCTTCCTCATAAGCACGCCATCAAAAGTAACTAATGACAAATATTGGGATAAAAAGACAATGGTTCTAACGCAATTGTACACAACCATCACCCTCGTTTCTCCTTCATATTTATAAATTTAGCCTTCATGTAGAAATTTTTTTTGACCAATATAGGAGACCAAGGATCTTAATCAACTTGTAGATCTACCTACAAATTCAGAATATTGCAAAACCAATACTAGACTAAATCAAAAGTTGAAAAAAAAAATTGATATTTCATTTCTTCAAAATTTAAGACTTGCATACTACAGTCGTTTATATAAAGCAAAAAAAAAGGTCAAACTTGAAAGGATTAAAATGTGATATTTGAATTATACATTGTGTTCATGCATCAACAATGTGGCCTTTCTCCATGAATAAAAAATAAAGAATTTCCGCTACATGTAAATATTGGTACTTCACATGAACTTGGCATCCTACCAAGATGCATGGACAATCTTTTAAGTGGTAAATGATCCACAACGATAATACTAAAGTGTGTGTAAAATTGAAAAAGAACAGTGATTGTTCTTGTAGCTGGATCTAGAGCCCCAGAAACATTAGAAGTGCATCAAGGACATTTTATAACTCAGGCTGCAACTAATTACATAAGAAGCTCATACCAGTTATACTCGACGAAAGACTTCATTTGTTCCAAAAAAAGATAAACACCGCTAGGAGCTGTTGACCAGAGATGCCAATTCAACATCTGCTTCTTTAGTATTGTTGAGCTTTCATTTTCCATTAGCATTTCAGGAGGAAGAATATTTGAATTCTGATTACTTTTGGGGACCAAAAATAACAAAGACAGTGGCAACAATCTCATTATGTTGCGGATCAAAATTGCGGTCCAAAGATTACCGAATTTAGTGCGTGTGACATTTAAGAGACGAAGTAATAGCCCACCACCCCATGATGATGAGAGCAAGCCCACATTATCAATAGACATGAGCAATGCAAAAAAAGTTCCTTCGATACCTGAGGGGCAAAGCTTGGAGCTCAGCACAAGAAGAGGCATCCATTTGATACGACCAATCAGTTGAGAAACACACTCATCTACGACAACAAAGAAATAGTCAGGAATCCCAAGCTTCAAGTTCAGACGGAGTACCAGCACCAAATCCAGCATTCCAACAAAGCTAGTAAGCAGCTGGACCCAAAAAAGCATGCTGCGAAATTGAAAGTCCTTGAGAAGATTTTGGTAAAGCAGTACACCAAGAAGAGAACCAATTGATCCAATAGAGAAGATAAATCCAACTGTTTCCTGCAGAATTCAGTATTGTGTTGATAGGAAGTGAATGCATTTTTCACAAAAATCAGCAAGTGAAATACAAAAATTTTTACAAATCAACATTCCATTTAATTGGTCCTAGAGTAATAATGGGTTATCTTCAACATGATAACAAACTGGTCACTTCATGTTCATACTTTAACAGCTAGGGAGACTGAATGATTCATCCTTGTGCTTTTTCTTGTGAGAGGTCCAAAATTGTGATTTACAAATTAGGGAAGAGGGAGACATCCGTGTCTTTAGTTTTTCTGCAAGTTGCTTTGAACTATGTAAATTGTTATTTGGGTTTATTATTCCTGTCGAAATTATTGAAATATAAAACTCAATACTTATTGGATACTGCACTAGGTCAGGCTCTATTATGTAAGTATAATCATGCTGACAAACTTCTTGTCATGCTCTAGCATCACAAGTAACTTGCCCTTTAGCTGATTAAGTTTTTCAACATGGCCCGGTAACGGCTGTGGTTAATTAGAGGTCAACAAAATTATAAAGAGAATGCAAGATACAACTGGATCTTCAATTGGAGAGGAAGATCCGGATCTCCCAAATCCCTAGCAGCTGGCCAGAGCCTAAATAACCTAAGAATAAACTAAATTCAGCAAACTCCCATAATATCCTCCTGAAATTATCCTATTATTAGTCTTAAATAGGCTCTCATAATTCCCTCCCAAATCAGCCCCCTTTCCCTAAATAATTTCCTATCATATTTATAATTCAAATTAGATTTATTTCCAAATTAATTTCCTCCCAATTGTAATTAAAACTTTCCAAAACAATCCCTCAATTCTTGTTTTTCCCTAAATAATTCCCACTTAGATTTTGAATTCATAATAGATCTCTTGCCCAAAAAAATTTCATCTCAATTGTAATTAAAACATTCCTAAATAATCCCCTTTGATTAAGAACCTTCATAAATAGCTCCCTCTTGATTAAGAAACTTCATAGTTTCCTCCCAATCAAATTGGCCGGTCCATCATGGGTTTAATTTAGTGGATATCTATGTTTTGCATGCTTTAAACCCAAGTTTTGGTAGTTACCTGAGAAAAAGCAGGACCTGCTTTAGGATTTGTATACCAATAAAACATCCCTTCTTGAATATTAAGGCTCAAGGCAAGTGTAATATACATGTATACGCATGGCCTCCAAACTTGAGGGCATTTCAAAGTTGACCACATAGATTGACCAACTTGCAGAAACTTCTTGTGAACCTGAGATCAGATTGTTCAAACATCAATGATTGTGCCAAGGAAGAAACAATAACATTAAGAAGAGGAAAAAAAAAAAAAACAAAACAAGAACACACGGGAAAGTCTCACCTCATTGTAAGCAAAACTATTGGTATGTGGCTCCTTAATCAATATTCCAACTGAAACGGTCAGCAAACAGGGGATACTTAACAACCCAATTACTGCCTTTATGCATAAGAAGACAAAAAAAATTAATATTTATTTTGTTCAAAAATTATGAATGTTAATCACATGCACGCTACAATTGAATGGGAAGGTAGCTTCCATAGTGATGCATTGAGAAGATAACCTGTGATCCCATGACATGAACAAGTATCCCACTTAATGAGAAGCCTATGAGTGCTCCTATGGAGGCACTTAACCCACATAAGCTTTGCATGTCGGCAGCAAGGGATGGTTTAGCAATACTGTTCTGTGCAACACAGGCATCTATAGTCACATCTGCTATGGCTACACTTGCACTTCCTGCAGTCATTGCAAGCAAGGCAAACACAACATGGAGTTTGCTGTGGAGTGATAATGTGAGCATTGAAAATACTCCCAAAAGGCCTACATGAATAATACAAACATTCAATCAATAATATGCTAGTTGAGTTGAGATAGGAAGCACTAATTCAAAAACAGAATTCAAGGACACAAGAACAGCAAAATGGCATTAAATAAGAAATGAGAAAACAAAGCAATGAAATAATCTTCAATCAATAGTACAAAAATAAACAATGGAATTCAAAAGAAAATGGGAGTAAAGCAATATGGAATCTATACAAGCTGATTCATAGGCTTGCCAAGATCTTATTTAGAGGTAGTTGGATCGCTAAAAAAAGAAATGCAAAGTAAAATGTAATACAATGTAAAATGATTATAATGCATTTAAAATGCTGGAGTTATTTGGATGAGTGTAAAATAAATGTAAGTCATTATAATTTCTTTTTGTATGGTTTGAAGTAAAATGATAACAGTGTAAAGCCTAATGATGGCAGTGTTTGGTGGCCGGAAATAACGACAATAGGTGGTGGGAGGCGACATTGAGTTACAGCCGACGTGCAATACGGATGATGAGTAACAACAACATCAAGTGGTAACAACTTTCAAAGGTTGTGGTGGATAGCAGCAGCGAGCCAAGGCAGATGGCGGTAGGTAGTGGTGGAGATGAGAGAGGTTGAGGTAGCTGGAAACAATAGCAGAGTCAACTTGCGATATATTTGTGAAATTGGCAAAAAAACGTCTAATTTAATATTGCATAAAAAATGAACAACATAGTGAAAAAGGTATTCATCAAAAACTTTGCATTCCTTCTTCATCAAACCAAACACCAAAAATTTCAAGCCCCTTCTTTGCATTCTTTTTTCACCAAAACAAGCAACCCCTTGGGGGAATAATAAAAAAAGAATATCTAATTTATGGCATTAATTTATTCCACCATTAATTATGATCGATCTTAGTCTTTATTTATTTATATTCCATTCAACCAATACGCTGAAAGTAGGATGAGTGGATTTACTCTTAAAGACATGATACAAAATGAGCATATACGTGAAAAGATTGGAGTAGCTCCGATGGAAGATAAGATTAGAGAGAGTCATCTTAGGTGGTTTGGTCACATAAAACGGTGGCCTTCTGATGACCCGGTTAGGCAAATAGATGAATGATTTAGCTTATATTAAGAAAGGTAGAGATAAACCTAAAAAGACTTGGTTAGAAAATATTAGAAATGACATTTCTTAATTAGATTTCAATGAGAATTTGACCCTTAACAGAACACAATGGAGAAAAAAGATTCATGTAGCTAGCCTCACATAGTGGGATAAAGGCTTGTTGTTGTTGTTCTTGTTTGTTCAACCAATACGCCTATGGATAGGCTAATATAGTCAGTTAATGACAATCAAATTCATCTTTTCAACATAGTATCAAAGCTAGACTAATTCCTAGTATTGTTTCCCCCACCCCACTTGTCTCTCATCCAAAGAGTGACACTTGCCTAAGCAATAGAATCCATGCTTGTTGACACATGCCCTAAGCTCACCTGATTGCATCTACTTCATGAGCACTTTCCTGCACTCGCTTCCATTGGACATATGCATGTCGTTATTCTTTCTCATTGGTATACCAATGCCCCTTGCCTTAGCATGCGCCTATGCCCACTTATGCAGCCTGCCTTCACTATATGAGTTATCAAGGCCTAAACTTTTCATCTCCATACTTGAGTTTTCCCTCCACAACTCAACATACTTCAACTTAGTTTAACTCTTCCCTGTGCCTCCTCATCCAGATCAGTTCACTATCCCTTGACACTATAATCAACTACTTGTATGATCATAAGCATTAACCTCTGCGTCTTATGCTATCACTTCATTTGGATATGCGATTAATGTACTATTGATACACGTTGGGTTTTAGATTCAAGTGTCTATTCTCATATGATTAGTACTCATCACCTATTTTCATCTCTTTTTATACACTCTGTATCACATAACATTATTGATGATGGTTCCCACTCTATAATTTTTAAAGAGCCATTTATGGCTCTCAAACTCTCCATCTTATTCAAAAGTTCTATATGTCCCATATTTTCTTATCAATTTATAGTATTTCATTATTATACTAAGACACAAGATCATCTTCACCTCCTATTCCTTTAGCGGCTCATTTTCCTACATCTAACCTTTTTAGGTTTACTCTTGAGAGTGTCAACCTCCATCAAAATCAACATCTTCATCTACATTGTTAGATCACCTAAGCATCTACTTGCTAAGGAACTCTCTAATCTTAACTTACCAATTGCCCATAAAAAAGTTAAAAACATCATACCAGTTTTTTTTTATTTTTTATTTTTTTTTATTTATCATACCAGTTGCTTCTTCACTTTCATATGACATTAGAATTTGATCATCTCCCTTCTTTTGATATACTTATTTGATCCCTGTCCTTTGTATCTATTCTCAACAAATGGCAAGAAGCATTATAAAATTCTTTCTAGAAAGAGGCAATGTATATGCTGAGATAATCAGTATAATTTGAAGCCACAACTGTTGGATAAGATCTTGAACATCTGTTAGTGATTTGTGCTGCTCCGGATCAACAATCACCGAAGCCAACCTTTGATCGATTTCCTTGTAAGTTTGTATGAAGAGAGACTGTGGCAACATTTTCATGATTGGATTCTAATGGTTTCTATTCTTTAGAAGGCAAAAGTACCACTAATTGTCCTTCTTTATAGGTGTTGTAGAACCCATCATACTTAGTTTGACATTCATATTACTAAGAGCATCCAAGAAGAAGGTGACAAGTGTCCATGAGAACAACATCACACAGAACTTGTCGTGTAGCTTGCCCCAAATGAAAAATTGAACATTTTCACAACTTTTGATATCTACCAAATTACATATCTTGTCATGTACGATGCATCTTGTTCGAAAGATATTGTGACATAGCCATTCAATCTCCTTTTTATATTGGATATTTAAAAGACGTCAAACCACCAACAATTCTCCTTCATCCAAATATAAGAGTTATTTTTCTATTTCCTCGTCAACTTCTTATTCTGTTGGAATGATGGTTTTGCTTGGTGCCTCTTCCATCATGATCATTATGCATAGCGTAGGACAGTTGGTTGCAATATGTGCAAAACTATGACAGTTAAAACATTTATGTGAGGGAAGAGAGGCGGTAGCCTCAGTTAGAAAAGGGGCTGAAATTCTAACAGCAGGTATTCCTGTATTTTCTAGTTTTTGAGCATCCACGAGAGCGGGTGTCGAAAGTTATTCCAAGCCTAATCGCTTGCTAAAATTGATTTTACTTATTCTTTGTTGCTTTTCTACCTCAAGAGCAAGGTTAATGACATCTTATATTGTCCAATATGATTGTAGTTGGACCATATTGGCAATGAAATGTTTTAACCATCCATGAAGCCAAGCTATGGTGTTTTCTTCAAGCTCCACCAAGTTGCATTTCAGCTCTAAAAATTCAGCTCATATCCTTCCATAGAGAGTTCTTGTTGTTAAAGATTGTGTAGTCGGAGGATCATATCTTGGTGGTAAAGGGCAGGCAAGAATTTTTCATTGCATTTCTTTTCTTTCTCGTTGCGTTAAATGCTTTAAATTTTCCCACCACAAAGAGATATTGCCTTTTAGTTTTATACCTACCAATTTAACCATGTGATCGTGAGAAACGTCTTTGTATTCAAGGATGCATTCTACGATGTGTAGCCTATGAAAGGATTCATTTGGATCCAATCTTCCTTCAAAATCTGAAATCTCGATCTTAATTCCAAAATCTTGATAAGGTCTTCTAGGTTCTCGCCGATAATAGGAAAGAGCTAGTTCTTCCTCTTCACTTTAAGCTTCTTAGTAAAAAGGACTTTCCTCTTCTACTTGACGTTATCCCTCATTCCGATGTTCAGTTGTATGACATAATTCCATCACCGCAAGCCTTTCTTGAAGTTGGTGAATCTCTTATTGTAAATCTTCTTCGGAAGGTATTGATTTGGCCTTGGATTGCCCCTTCTTGGTGGCATTATTGCAGTTTCTTGCTGAGCTCTGATACCAAATGACACCAGAAATTTCACAAGAAAGAGTGGGAAAAAACTAAAACCAGGAATTTAGCAAGCAAGAATATCGTGCTAGAGGATGCAAATGATTTCATCCTTGTAAGGAAGCCATCTAGGATGCAGAATAGGAGGGGAGGGCTAAGGTCTTCTAGCAATAGTTTGGTTGGAAATTAGAACGCAGAAATACCTAGCTAAAGTCTAGAAATGATCTCAACCTTGTAATTGCACTATTCAGTACTGTAGAACAGAGAAGAGGCAGACTGTTGGGCTTTAACAGGAGTTTCTTACTGATGGTGGAATGGTTCAAGTCTTCAAGAGAGGCTAAAACCTCTGGCTGAGGCGGTTGGACAATAGAGGAGAAGGCGTGGAGATATGTTATATTCAATAGGGGTCTTCCTGGTTGTTTGATACGCCTAGCTCAGACCAAGCTAGCAGGCTGACCCAACCTAGGTTGAACTAGCCATGTGGCTGGGTAGAACCAGGGCAGCAAGAAGGGGAAGTTCAGCCCCCCTTGTGGCGCTCAGGGGAGCTATTATTATGAAAGAAGAAGAAATCAAGGGGGGATTGTTTAGAAAGGTTTTAATTTAGGAAAAGATGACTTATTTGAATTAGGAAATGTTTTAATAAGTAAAAGATGGCTGATTTGAATTCAGATTTGAGAGTAAAGTATGAAGAATTATATTATGATTAATTGGATTTTTTTTACATTCATTATGAGATCGTGTTTGTTGTAATTCAATTTGAAGTTGTTCCTAGTGGCAGCTAGGATTTGTGCGAGGATCAATCTACCTATCAAATTGTAGATCATTTGTATCTTTTGTTATTGTTGGTGTAATAAAAAATTAGCTCCCATACTTGTGTTCCTGCAATTTCTTCTTATCTAATTTGTTGTTTTTGCTTCCAAATCACATCATTGTTGAGCCTGGAAGGGTGAATCAGCCACCACCTAGAAATTCCAAGATATAGAAAAACACAAGGAACATAAAAAACAAATCTCTGAAATTTATTTCTTCTCAAAAACCGGCTTACATTTGGAGGGGGTTCTATTTATAAGAGTTGAACCCCTTGATGACTAGGCATATAATAAATAATCATATTAGTGACTAGGATTACTATCAACAAAACAAAACATAAAAAAAATTAAATTGGGCTGATTGATGACCAGTTGGTTGAACCAAATAGTCTTGATAACACCAAAGTCAAACAATCCCTCCTAACTAGCTCACCCGATCAATCATTCTATATTTTGTTAATATGAAGGTATTAAAACTATGTTGTACAAATCTTTTTGCATAACTTTTCATATTTATTTCGGCCAATTCTTTTATTCTTCCTAATCTTTAACATTAATTTTATCCACCAGATTTATAGGAGAAATTAATAAGATATGTTCAATTGAAAAGGATACAACTATTCTTCCAGGTTCATTATGTTGTACAAAAAAGATAGTAATTCAAACTTCAAAATAAAATTCATCAGTTGGCCTGCACAAAAGATGAATTGAAGATTGCCTACTTAATTATAATATCTTATTCAGGTTTGACTGTACTTCTTAGTCAAATTTTCCTTTCTATCAAAAAAATGAGTGCATGTAATGGTCAACCAGCATTTCGCGAATCAACCACCTGGTGTTCATCTTTGCTTCTCAAGACATATATCAATATGGATGATAAAAAGTATAGCATTCCAAAGAGGAATGTAAGTTAATATGATTCTATTTTCCTTTTTCCTATGAAGGAAGTAAAAGGAGGTGGCCCTCTTGCTGCAATAAGAGAGAACATGCTTATTGCCTATACAAGTGCATACTGACAGCTAAATTTTAGACCAAATGCAATAATGCATCACAGTAGTTTCCAACTATAAATTGCTTTACGTTTTATGGCAACAATTAGCTTGCCTATATAAAAGTGTAATATACATGAATCCTATTCTCCATTCAAGACTACAAAAGTTGGTTTTTTTTTTTTCGGGGCGGGGAGGGGGAGGGGGGGGGGGTCGTTATTCCATTAGGAAGTTAGTGAAGATGCCCCATTATATATATATAAGTGTAAGCAAACAATCTGTCGAATTAACTCTATAAACTCTCTTTACGTTTTCTCAAAAAGGCAAAACAAAAAAGAGTTAAATTACGTAAGTAATTACATTCAATGAACATTAATTTCTAACAAATAACATAAAATTAATTGGACTTAATCCATGAAAACTATACCCTCCACAAAAGACTAATGAAGGCATTCACTAGTAACATAAATTGTTAAACTCCTCTTTCAAGGAGTTTAACAATTTTCAGGTGTAAGTAACAATTACCACTGTTATGCTTGAGCAACTTCAACTACTGTATTAAACAATTTAAAGTTGATAGATAAGGTGACAAATAAGAAATATGCACAATAAAATGATCAGAAGTAAACAAATGTCCCTTGCCTGCAAAAATGAAATATGGCTTTCTTCGGTACCCAGCCATTGGTAGAACATCTGTTAGAAGACCCCAAAGAGGCTTCACAATCCATGGAATTGATATGATCCCCTGATAAAACTGTGCTGCTGAGGGCTGCACCTTCTGCACATCCTTCCAGTAGTATTCAATAGCAACTTTCCATGTTCCACCTCCAAATCCCTGGCTGATTCCATACACTACAACGACTCCAAACACAAAACTCCAATGCGTCTCATTCGAAAGAACTCTAAACCATGTCAGTGGCGATAGGAGATGAGCAACCTGCTGAACCTTTGAATCTCTAATACCTAGAAATTCATGCCCATAAGATCCATTCTCCTTTGGCACTCCATCAATGAACACTATAGGCTCCTTTTCATCTTCTGTGACGTGCTCAGATGAAGAAATTTGAGATGGTAGCACGTATTCCATTAAAAAGCTGGTATAGAAGCGTTGACTGAATCTGATGTGGTGATAAGAAGAAACAGATTTTCAACTGGTTTCTTTTTCTTTCACAGAAAGGAAAAAAATTAAACGGAGATGGCTTCACTGGTTCCTTGAATTTGCTCAAAGAAGTTGATAACAATAAAGAAATAGGGTATTTGAGAGATTTGGTTAACCTTTTAAAGAAAGGAGTTTGCAGATCTGTGGAATGCCGCGCCTGCGAAGACTGTAAGACAGTGGAATGGATCTACCGTTTTTGTCTTAGAAATATTTAAAAAATGTATTTTTTCGACAAAAATGAGAATTTTGCACCGATATTAGTCGAGATTTGCAAGGAACTGACTGCGAAATTCCCCTGAAATCCCTAAGAAAAAGGAAAACATATTCTGAAGAAAAGGGTACAATTCAACCACATGAAGAGGGGAGGCAGTGCTAAAGGAGACGAAGATGGTGCGTATCTGCAGTGGAATGTATGGTTGACCCAAAAAATTTAAAAATCTAGGGAAACGATTTCTACTTCTAGCTGGTTACCAAAATGGCGAACGAGTGTTAGGAAACGATGTAGGTTGACTAAAATGCGTTTGGCACGTGCCACTAAATGGTTGGTTCGCTGATCCGTAGGGCCGACACGGGCCGAGGCCAACGGACCGAATCCAATCATACTGCCCTTCTACGCAAGTAAGCACTTGGCGCTTGCCCACTGCTATTTGACTTGAATTTCTGGGTAAACAGTAAAAGTCTTAAGTGTTGGTCAATGTAAATTGATGTGGTTTACATGCTAGATCGACCGGAATTTACACTGACCTAAGAACAGTATTTACTCGTAAAAAAAAAGCACTTGGTGCTTAGCCTCTCTCTTTTTCTCTCTCTATAAAGATGTATTTTACTTTAACAAGTATGTTAATGATTTTTTAATATATTTTGAATGTTTTATAAATAAATATAAATGATTAGAGTTGGCCTAAGTCGATTAAATGACCAATTGAGTTTAATTTGAATACCATTGGAACATTGACATCGAAATAAGATATAATTTTCCCCTATCCACTAGTCAAGGTATGGTAGGAAAGATTGATTTTTTTTTTGGTGAGATTTGACTTGCTATAGTGGTCAAATGCTAAACTATTGATTGATTAATGATATGACTTTGAATTTTATAAAGTACTCTATTAGCATAGAGGTTTAATTGCGTCCATGATCAAACTTGGGTTTACCCTAGTTATACCAATTTAAGGACTATATTAAGACTTTAATTAAGCTAATTAGGAGAATAAACTAGGGATGGTTATTAGCTATAATGACTTATTTGGATAATCTTAGGCAATAATGTAGCTATGACTAACACTAGCATGGTCATTTACATTAACAATTAAAATATTGATGTTTTTTACTCACTATGCATGATAAATGAATCAAAATAAAGGATCAAGGCATTGAGCATTTTAACCCAATAAAACATAAAATATCTAAATCGAGAATACCAAGCTTAGTAAGTGAGAGAAACTTTAGCTAATAAAACCCAGGCATAAGGTGGTAGAATTGCAATGATAGCTATGTGTTCGATTTTGTTGTTAGAATAGGGTTCTATTATACCAAAGGAGTATTGTAAGTTCCCATCTTCTTTTGGGAAAATTTGTAACATGTACTGAATTTAAGTTCAGTTGCGCCTGTTATGACCTGATCTGAAAGAGGTAATTTATTGAATCTTGCATTTGAAATCTCTTGCATGTGTTAGAGGTTATTTTGTATGCATATGAATATCTGAATATGCTCTGGAGCTAAACCTGGGAGTCTGTGTACATGTTTGTGAAATCTGATTTTTTTTAATTGGGGCATCAAAACTCTTGGGTAGGCGTCGTTGCGGTGCTGAGCTCTCTAGATTTTTGCAAAACAATTCAACGTTGTGGCACTAAGGGAGTGGCGTTGTGGTGCTATGTGCTCCTTAAGATAGTGCTGCGACATGCAAGATAGAGTGTCGCGACACGAGGTCCTAATTTTAAAATAAAAATATCTCTTTCCATTAAAATTGACTCATTTCATCCAATCAAGGCATAAAGCTAAGAGAGAGAGAGAGAGAGAGAGAGAGAGAGAAGAATTTCTAGAGAGAGAAAGTTTATTTTGTCCAAATTCGATTTGTTTTCTGCTAACGGGCTTGTTCTGAAAGTTACCTAGCTTAAGGAAGATTGCATTTTTCCCATCTTAAATAATTTGATGATTTTGAGATTTTTCTTATTGATATTATAAGTTTCTAGTGTTACAATCGAGTTGACTTTCAAATGGGAAAACTTTCACCACATAATTTCTAGTATGTTGACGAGACCGTAGTTCAAGACATTTAAGTATTTATCTATAAAACTTTTGTTAGGTGTTTTTGAAATGTTACTTTTCTAAAATTATTGAAAAATATTTAGATACTAAAAAATAGCACTGTAGAACAATTAAATTCTTGAAACATAATTATGCACAATCTCTTGAAATTTAGTAGAATTGTAAATCAATAAATTATTGTGACAATGTATTGGGTCTGACTATTAAAGAGCTGCCCATAGGGCCAGCTTCTGAAGTTTGTAAATAGTTTAATTTATATTTAACTACTTAATTATACTATTATATAACATAATTGATATATTTGTGCATCTATGTATGACATTATATTTGTATATGAGGAGTTGTATTTAGAGTTTTGTTTTATATTTGTGGAGTTTTATTACAAAATTTTTGAATGTGCTAAAAGTACTTGGAGGCTTAAGGGCCTGGAGTTTTGAATGGGAAGCATAAGGGTTTAGAGTTTTGAATGGGAGACACAAGGGCTGGAGTTTTGTTACTTTCTACTTTGCATTGTATGTTTATTTACATTCTATTTAGAATATTACACTCTAAAATCTAGCTATAGAGAAAAACATTGGATGTGTTATAACGATTCAACTCATTTAAAAAAAAGAGCAAAGAGAAGAAGTTTTACCTCTCAAATCTTGAAGAAATGGAAAAAGCAAGCTATAAACCACCTTAAACGATGATGAGGGATGGACAAGCAATGGAGAGGATGAGTGTTTCAGTTTGAGGAAGAAAAATGTGAAAATGAAACGGGAGGATGATTTAGGATGAAATAGGGCTCTAAATAACATATTTTTTGGCAGAAAAATCCACCAAAGATTAAGTAAATTCACAATAAAAAAATTTTGGCAGAAAACACACCGTATAATCTAATGATCATGGTAAATTTTGACGAAATTTTTTTCCCAAAATTTCCTCTGGTAATCCATGATTTTCCTATAGTGTTTATAACCTTAGTTATCTATAAACCATATATTGTTCAGACACCGCTCTAATGTAAGTCTATCATTAAGATTGGAATGAATGTTTTATTTTATGTTATTTATTTTGTAATTATTAAAAAATGATTTGGGGGAATGTAATATGTTGAGCTGTATTAACTCATTCTTTACTTTGAATTTTATTTTCAGGTCAGATTAAGGGTAATGGGCCGATTTAGTTGAGGCTATTTTCTAAATCTATCTAGTGTAGATGTACCTTTTTTTAATTTTTATTTTAGATTTTTGATAGCCTTGAATTTATTGTATTTCTTGCCCTATGTTTGTGTGAAACCCTTTAAATTTTTAAGATTTTTTGGTTGACCTAGAGAAGTCCAAATCACATGCTGTCTTTGTCAAAATATTAATAATATTATGTTTTAGCTTACCTAATTTTTTCATAATTTTTGGGCATTATTGAATTTTCTTAAGAAATCGACATGGGTTGTTATAAGTGGGGTTTTGGGGACCGTCAGTTGTCCGTTTTTCAAACCGATTTCATCAAATTTTTTTTAAATAAAATGAGTTAATTTATGAATATTTTTGTGTAAATTTTTAAATCCCTAAAAAATTTCTATAAAAAAATAATTATAATAATATTATTATATATTATTTAATAATAAAAAATTAGAAAATATCTAAAGCCATAATATTTTATTAATGCCATTTAACTATTTCGTTTCTCAAAAATATCCAAACAAAGAATCGGCTAAGGGTAAATGAGAGATAAAGAGAGGTAAGAGAAATTAGAAATCCGATTTTGGGCGACTTCGGGCTATCTTCGTCTGTCGGCTCAGTTGAGAAATTTGTTCGTCTCAAGGTAAGACACATTATGCCCATCACAATTTTAAAAAATGTGTAAGTTTTATCAAATATTTTAATTAAAATTTTGCATCCGTTAGCAAAAAATAGTGATAAATTTACACCAGTAAAACTTTTACAGCTTAACTTTTTGTATGTTGTAGAGATTACGATTATGCACATTTAGAATATTTTAAAAAAAAATTTCAGAGGGGGTTTTGAAATTTATGAGATTTTTATTGAATAGAAAATTATATGGATGTTAAAATTTTTTGCTGTAGTACAATAAAAGTCTTAAAACATGATTTTACACAATCTCTAGTAATTTGATGAGTTGCTAAAATTAGTGTCATATATCAAGAAAAACAAAGGTAAACCTAAAATTATATGAATAGACTTATTTAAAATAATTTGTGAAGAATACTTTTGATACATACTTAAAAAATTATCTTGATCAGGCACAAATCTCGAGGAAAAATTAAGTTGGAAACTTCTGAAATTAAAATTGGAACCATCCAAACTCCAATTTCAGCAAACTTACAGTTGAACTGAGCGTCTCGGAAATTCAAACCCAACGGCACCAAAATCGACTCAATCCGAGTCCAAATGGATCCAAACAAAGGGTTTGAAGGGCTATTGGAGGGTTCAAACCACAATTTGGATTACCAACCGGTTTTCAAACATGATGTGCTTATAGTCGAATCGAGCGGCTCTAAGAGACGAATCCAACAAGCCCAAGATCACTGAATTCTGACATCACCAAGGCATACAAATATCCATCAAATGGTTCAAGATCAAGGGATTCAATATCGGCAGTCCATACAAGCCACTCCCAATATGCCTTTGATCTACCACCTATTTACGAGCCATGCCACTATAGAAAATCTATAAATAGACCCCTCCTCCCTCTTGAATGGGGGGATCCAAGAAAGAGAGCAAGAGAGAGATTAGAGATCGCTCTTGCCTCCTCGCTCCTCCTCGACCACTGCCTGGAGTTCCGCCGGACAACCACTTGAGGCCCTGAGCTCCGTCGGACCATCACTTGAGGTCCTGAGTTTCACCGGACTGCCACCTGAGGCCCCGAGTTTGGCTGGACCACCACTTGAGGCCCTGAGTTCTGCTGGACCACCACCTGAGGCCCGGCCTTCTACCGGACCACCACCTGAGGCCCAAACTTCTGCCAGACCACCACCTGAGACCCAAAGTTCTGGCGGACCACCACCTAAGACCCGAGCTTCCACCGGACAACCACTTGAGGTCCTGAGTTCTATTGGACCACCATCTAAGGCCCTTGGGGGGTATTTGTAGCAGGAGGGGGAAGTTGGAGGAGTTGAAGAAGTTATGATGTGTGTGTGTATATATATATATACTTCCTCAAAAAAAAATCCTCTTAACTGCTGGTGATTAACCAAACTGCCCGGCTAAACACAGCCGGGCAGCCCGGGAAGCGATGCGCAGCGGCGGTAGCTTCAGCGATGTGGGCCATACGGGCGGCGTCGCCAGCAACGGCGATAGCTTCAGCGACGCCT